CACATAGAGAGAGAGAGAGAGAGAGAGAGAGAGAGAGAGAGAGAGAGAGAGAGAGAGAGAGAGACAGAAACTGAGACATAGAGAGAGGAGAGAGTGAGAGAGAGATAGAGGTAGACAAAGACAGAGACAAAGACAGAGAGGGAGAAAGAGACATAGAGAGACATAAAGAAAGATGAAAGAGGGATATCGACGACGCTGTTAGAGTGTAAAAGGTTGCAATGTTATACGCCCTGCTTCAACTCTTAAGGGTCAACAGGGCATGAGTGAGACGCACCATCACTGTACAAATAAAGAGAGAGGTACTCCATAAAATAATTTCTTTCTCATCCAGGAGTAGTAGGTGGCTGGTGGGTGCTCTGCTGTGGCTTGTTCCTTCTTTATTATCAAGCATCTATCGTCCTTATCTCTCCTCTTTCTTTTTTGTGCTTGTTACTCTCTTGTAACACCTCAAATCTTCGGCATTTGTATGGCCCTGTTGTGCTGTAATCTTCTTTCTTTTTTTTCTTTTTTTTTTGTAAAGTGTTTTACGGCGCTCACAACTGCGTAAGGTCATATGAGCGCGCGGGACACACTAATATTTTCAGTTGGTAGGAAATTTTGAATTTTGATCGGGTGGCGGCCGAAGCCTACTCTTATCGATTTTAGACCACCAAGGGATCTTTAACGTGCGCAACTTGCACGCGGGCCCTCCGAGATTTTTTTGCCCTTGTCCGAGAAGGCAAGGTGTAGATCTTTCCTACCAGAAGATCAGGGGTGTGGCTGGAAGACAGCAGTAAGAAGAAGCGAAGGAGTAGCAGCAGAAAGGCTGCAGAAAGATTCAGGAGCCCAGAGGAAGGGGCGAAGGAGGTGAGGGGGTGGGGGCAGAAAGAGGAGACGAAAGCAGACGACAGAACGTTGCAAGAGAGCAGGAAATTAGGTGAAAGGAGACAAATTTAGAGAAGAAAATTTTTCGGTCGCTACCCGGATTCGAACCCGGGACCTTTTGAATAAGAGGCCAACACCTTAACTTCTAGGCCACGAAAGCCCCCCTGTAATCTCCGGCGTTTTATGGCCTTGCTGTGCTGCAAGTGTCGTAATACACTAAACTCCAGGTTTGTGTCGATCTGAAAATAACGGAGTCTTGTGAACCCCCCCCC